CTACCTACCTACCTAGCTACCTACCCACCCACCCACCCACCCACCCACCCACCCACCCACCTACCTACCTACCTACCTACCTACCTACCTACGTACCTACCTACCTACCCAGACCTACCTACCACACAGAATTATGAACCTGCCAACTCCCCAGAGGCATTTGTATTCTGCTGCGACCTTGAACAGCACCAGGCTCGGAGACTACAGCTGCCAAGCGTCAGTCCATGTCAGACAACTGTGCCCTGAAAGGTTCTCTCTTGAACGATTGGTACACGAAGTAAGTAAAGAAGGGGCCATCCAGATGAGCACATACAGTATCTCCGCCATCTCTCTCATTTCGGCATCCTTGCTTACCTTGGGTACGGTGGATAGCTCGCTTACCACCCTATAAACCCTATAAACCCCTAANNCCTAAAACTTAAACCCCTAAACCCTATATTATAAACCCCCCAAAACCCCAAACCAAGGGTCCCTTGAATCTTTGGATGAGTGCAGCTTCCAGGAAGGCCGGACCCAGTGTCTCGTCGCTCACATAGACTATGACCATTCTCTCCCAGCGTTGACGTTCATGAACATATCCAAAGCTCTTGTTGAAAAAGCGGTTGTGTGGATCGTAGCTAAAGCCTATTTTGTAAACCATGGGTCCGTGAGTCTCCAGCATGTTTTCTAAGACATGGGTGCTGTGCCTGATAACCTGTCCAGCGAGTGCTCCAGGTTTCGCCAATTTCAGAAGCAGTCGATCCGTAGACATGATTTTTTTAAACACTTCAGGTGTTCTTCGCATGCTCTGTATCTTCACGTCGAGGCAGAGGCCAGGCGTAGGCGTAGACGGGCCAGGCTGATGCACTACCTTCCGAAAACGTGCAGGACTATACAAGTTTATATATTGTCCTGGACTACACTAGACTAATACACAATGCATACTGCATGTACCCACACACACTATATATACTATACGACTATATATATATATATATATATCATAGAAGTAGTAGTAGCAGTAGTAGTAGTAGTAGTAGTAGTAGTAGTAGTAGTATAGTACTAGTAGTAGTAGTAGTAGTAGTAGTATAGTAGTAGTGGCACCAGCAGCAGCAGGAGTAGTAGTAGTAGTAGTAGTAGTAGTAGTAGTAGTATTACTACTACTACTACTACTACTACTACTACTACTACTAGGACTTCCACAACTATATACGACTAGTACTATATATTCTACCCCTACCTCTACCACCTACAGCATCCCTTCAATCTCCACAAAATAGAGAGAACACAACCTAGACCAGGTGGCTGTTGTCGATGAAGATGGCCCCAGTGAGCTATCCTGAATCGAAGCACTCAGCAGCCCCGCCCCCCCCCCCTTTTCCTCAACCCTCCACCGTGCACATTTCAACCGAGACTCTCTGTTGTACTGTATGAGTTCCCTGAGCCAGCTAGAATCCTCGTCATCATCGCTGGCCATAGCCCTTGGATTCGGAAGCTCATGACACTGCACGGGAGTCTACATAAAGCCAACTGCCGAAGCCTACAGGGACCCGCACAGAATTGTAGTCAATGGGCTCAATAGGTTGAATCTCATAGATGCAGTAAAGAAGCCCTGAGTATTGTCTTCCTCCGACAGCAGCAACTCTGTGTTCAGGAAGTGGCGATGGCGGTTTTGCCTCAGAAAGCTGCAGGCTTCTTTACAGGGTTATATAGGGAGCATGTAGGTTCGGGCGGATTGCGGGTGCATAGGGCTATCCTTATTCGGGGATTCTGCTCTTCACACCATTCAGCGTGCTGTCGGGGCCTATCTCTAAACCCTGTAATTCCGAGAAGCCCTATATAAACCCTTAAACAAAGACATCAAGTGTTCTCTTGAGTGCACATGCCGCACAGCCTGGTTCGGCAACTAGCAAACCCCGAACCCTACGAACCTTGAACTCTCTCTCTCTCTCTCTCTCTCTCTCTATATATATATATATAATAACCCAATCAACTCAGGAAAGCTAACCCCGAAGCTAAGCCATAACCTATATATGGCTATCCTCTCGACAATCATTATAGACCTACGTATATGTATATATATATATATCTATATTCATACACACATACATATATATATATATACATATATATATGTATATATTCACAGCCTCAGAAGACAATAACTATATAGTCGCCATTGTAGTTCCTTTCTGGGGCTCCCTTACAAAAAAAGGAACTGCAATGGAGACTATATATAAATTCAATTCATGTCAATGCCTAGGCCAAGAACAGATAACCCTAAACAGCCACATTACACTAACCCCCAAGTACATATAGGACCCAAGCGGGGCATACAGTCTTGAGTGTCCAGGAGTAAAAGACCAGGAGCCGACTCCCAGGCATGAAAGCCTGAACCGTATACATCCTGGTAGTCTACATGCCAAAGGTCCCAAAAGCCAAGCTAAGCCAAGTGTCACCAAATGCAACATAATTCACAAATCGCTAGCGTCATGCCAAGCCTCTTAGCTTTATAGGGTTTAGGGTTTATAGGGTTCGGGGTTTATATAGGGTTTATATGAGGTTTATAGGGTTTGTAGGGTTCAGGGTTCAGGGTTTAGGGGTTTAGGGGTTTAGGGGTTTGGGATTCAGGCTTAGTGCATTGCAGTCCCTGCTCAAAAAAAGGGCTTTGGGGTTTGTAGGGTTTGTAGGGTTTAAGGTTTGTAGGGTTCCTGGTTTATAGGTTTCTATAAGGTTTATAGGATTTATAGGGTTCAGGTATTCGGGTTTAGGGGTTTAGGGGTTTGGGGTTTGTAGGGTTTGTAGGGTTTATAAGGTTTAGAGGGTTCGGGGTGAATAGGGTTTATATAGGGCTTATATAGGGGTTTAGGGGTTTGGGGTTTGTAGGCTTTCGATATGGTTTAAAGGTTTATAGGGTTTTGCACGGTGCCGAATCTATACTTACAACGTCTTTGTGCTCCCGGCGGATGAAGCAAGACTATATACGGTATACACGGTTTAGATGTTTAGATGGGTTTGGTTTTCTTGAGGTTATATAGTGCTATACAGGTCGAGTGCGGGCTCGAGTGGCAAGCGGCTCGTGCGAGCCTGAGCTGCCTCCAATCGCTGCGAAGCTATGCAAAGTGTTCTATATGGTGTAAGGGTTAGGGTTTAGGGATGTATGCTGCAGGGGATGCCATATGCAAGTCCCGTCCATGTCTGTTCGCTGAAATGCTGTTATGGTCGTTAAAATTCAACCATCCTGCATTGATTTGGGCATTGATGTTTCGCTTCAGCTCCATGCAGTGACCTACTCCCCTCGAGGCTTCAGCTGTTTGACACTGTGGCGATGGAGGCAAAGGATGCGTCTGAACATGTTCCCGTCATGAAAAGGTTTGCGAATGGAAGCTTCTGAATCACTCGTCGTGAACTGTATGTGTGCCGTGCAAAATGGGACAGAATAGCTTGCAGCAAAGACCTGCGACCGGGCCTAGCAAAGCCCACTTGGAGGTAATCGTCCCAGAGCCACGAGGCATCGCCCGACCTCATGATGCATGGCTTGAACTTGATAGGACATGAACTCTACTAGCAGTCAACAGCTTCAAGGGAACATGCTGCAGCAGTCGAAGCTTTTCGATTTTCATCTCCATCGCACATGCCACAGCGGCGTGATTAAAGCACTCAGCCGATGAAGCGACTGCAAGCTTTTAAAGCTTTGTTCAAAGGGCAAGCTTGTGGATCAAACCACACATGCACAGATGCTGCATGTCTTGCATCCAGCAGAAAGTCTAGGGTTTATAGGGTTAAGGGACAGCTAAGGGTACTGGAATGCCGGCTGAAACGCCCACTGCATGCTTATATTGCACCTGCTGTTGCAGCAAGCCACGAGGAACTGCATCACGAGGAAAACCATCCAAAGCTGAATTAGTTGCCTAATTAGCTGCGACGACATCACAAGCTTCACAGGAGATCCCAAGCCTCGGCCAGCTAAAGACGATCCCAAGCCTCGGCCAGGCGTTCACGGATCTCGGCGACGGCATCCGAGTACAGCGTCATCTTCGGGTTCGCTTCCAAGAACTTTACCTCACCGGGGTAATAAGAGAACATTCTTAATCTAGAGATGGCGGAGCAAACCTATACATGAGCACAGGTTATACAGCTGGGGCACGACAGCATTTGCCGTAAGAACATTGAAAGCCATACTCCTCTGGGAACCCAAATGGAACTTCTGGGTTCCAAGATAGTCTCCCTCTCGGATACCAAGCTTGCCTTTCGACCAGTACGGCATGATGTAGTACCTGAGCACAGATGAGAGAAACCTTATGGAAGGAGCATTCCGAGGTGACGATGGGCCTGGTGCTTTGGATGATGGCTGCCAAGACAATAATGATCTATCAAAGTGTTTCATGGTGGGCTCTATGCGTAAAGCTGCGACTGCTGGCACGGGGCTTCCTATATTGATGTTTCCCTATAGACCTGCGACGATGAAGAATGTGGGGATGATGGTGTTTCGTTATAGTGCTTTTCAGATCTATACATGCAACCATATCTAATTATTGGGTGCCCGAACAATTCCTCGATCAGCGTATGTGGCCTAAGGTTGCCCATGTACTTATATGTGCATATATGTATGCATGAAAATATGTGTTCATGTGTGGCATGGTACATTTGTCTTTTTATGTATGCGTAATAGAATCGCTTGGGTTTTGCATGTGCTTCAGCTGTTGTTCGTGAGAGTTTTCAGTTTATTTGTGCACCTAGGAATGTGTTGGTTTGTGTTTTGTGACCGTGTCTATATGTGTATATATATATATAACTGTGCATTGCTTATTTTTGTGTCTGCTTAAATCAGTCAATTTTTACTACTATATCAAAGCCTGCGTAAAACCCTAAACCCTAGAAATCCCTGTAAACCTTAAGCCCTATATTTATAGACATAAACAAGCCGGAATCCCCAAATCAAGAAGAGGAACTTCTTGGAAACATGAATCTTCTCCCTCAGCGGGGGTCGCTGATCCTTGACAATCTCCCCAAAGCAATCGCCTTCACGAGCCTGCCGAAACTTCTGCACGAGGTCGTGATAGCTCCGAATCTCTGCATCCCCAGGCAAGCCAACCTTCTGTGTCGGCTTCGCCTTGGCCTTGGCCTTACACTTGGCTGCTGCCTTCGACTTGGCCTTTGCTTTAGGAGAAACCTTCGGAAAGGCCTTGGGGGAGGCCTTGGCTTTACCCTTTGCTTTCGGCTTCTTGTCCTTTGCACCCTTGGGGTTCTCAGCTTTCCGTTTCTTGCCCTGGAGATTTTCCTGGGATCGCTTCCGTGCAATTGCCTTAGAGCACTTACCCAAGCGATTTCGACCCCCTTTGCCACGACCTGGGAGCTTCCTGGAGTGGGCCAACTCAAGCTGGGCAGTGCGGGTAAGCAGCAGCTCGGAAGAGCTAGCATTCGTCGAAAGCTGAGGCTGGGAAGATGCAGGCGGGGGCAATGCAGGAGGCGTGGCAACAGACGGCTTTGCATCAACACCTTCATCATCGGATATCTCGTAGGATTGCGAAACTGAACCCTGCCGATGAGCCGTGGCTCTTGCACGAAGCTGCTGCTTCAGCTTCGCCTTCAGCACGGCTTTCACAGCTGCTGCACGACTGCTGTGTTGCCACACGTGCTTCGCCCTTCGCTTTGCATACTTCTCCTAAGCATGATGTCCATCTTCAGAGGCTAGCGAAACCACAACCACTGAAAGCTTAAGGCTTTTGGGTTTAGGGTTTAGGATTTGGGGTTTAGGGTTTGTAGAGATACAAAGGGAAACCCTCTTTTTCAGATGTGAAGCCTCCCAGTCGCACTCGAGAGGCTGGGCCGAAGATGACCTCGCATCCCATGCAATCCGTATCTATCTATATATAGAGTGGAAAGTTGCAACTTCTGTAAGCCCTGCCCTCAATTATGTAGCCACGTGGCGGATGATCCGATCCATCATCGCCATCAGAAGATGAAACCTGCGAAGCTTCATTTGTTGTATAGGGTTCGGGGGCTATCAAAGTCTCGGAGCTTCGGTTTATGCAGGCAGGGCTATATATGCAGCATATATAGTTTATATAAGGTTTGGGACTCATAGCGTTTAGGGTTTAGGGCTTTAGAGTTTTTGAAGTTATAGGGTTTTAAAGGGTTTTCAAGTTTATGTAGGGTTTAGGGTTTTGGAATTTATAGGTTTTCTTTTGATAGGCTCACACTAGCGACTGCTTGACTTTATTCGTATCCCGAGCTCTGCCTCCATCATCTCACCGCTCAGCTGCTCGCGAGCAAGGACAACCTGAAGCAATCTCGTAATTAAGCTGAATGGTTTCTTAAATTGAATGAACATGAGCCCCAGGTGCATCAAGCTGTGATTCGGATGCCGGGGCTGTATCTTGAACATCAGTAGCCGAACCATGGCCTTTGCAAGTTTTTAAGCGGGTTTGCAGCGACATGTGCCGATCTCTTTAATCATGCAGGCCTCCTGTTGCGACATCGGCTGCGGGAGCAGTCGCGGGGGACCCGGTGCAATTCTCCAGGGAGGGGGACACGAAGGATGAGGATGCTGCAGCAACTTCTTTCGGCGGCGAGGGATTCGGGATGCTCTGGGGCGATGCCGTGGAAGGACTTGCTGGCGTGGTCGGGCTGGGCTCCGGTAGATCTTTCTCCAGAGCAACTTGCACTGGACGTGGCACCGTCTCTTTATCCATGACAGGACCTGGACCCCTTGCATTCTTGAAGCTAATCCTCTCCTGTTTGCCCTTGTTGTTCATGGGATTGTAGCGAATCTTGAAGCTTGGCCTCCGATGGGGCACTGCAGCTCCATCCTGATCCTTCATGACAGTCTTTCTGAAAGCCTTAGTATGCAGTATATGGCCTTCTCCACAAAACTCACACATGCAACAGACATGAAAAGGAGGGAAACAAACACATAAGTGTATAGATGCTGCCAAACTGCTGACACAACAGCATACACATTCGTATCTCGTTGTCTCTCTGCTCGCTCGGCCAATCGGCGAACATGGATCAACAGTTTCTTCAACACAGCTGCTGTCACAGTCTGAACCTTCTTCGGGATGTTCGCCTGAGTCGGCTATCTACCCTATGGAATTATATAGGCAACAGTCTCAAAGCAGGCGTGCAAGCATGCTAGTTTGGATGAGGCACCCCCATCCTGGAATTCAGTTCCTGAAGCACAATCTTCAAAACCGGAATCGTCGCGATGTCCTTGAAGCGACCATAGGCCTTCGCCAGCGGCCGGAGCAGATCCTGAATGAGCTGTCGGGCTGTCGGTAACACGATCGGGGTTTGCAAAAAGCTTCTACAAAGCCAACTCATGAAACAGCGAACACCAATGAAGCCATAATCAGCTTAAGCACTCTGTTCATAGAGATGTGCTCAGAGTTAATCGCCGGGTCGTCGTGGCATTTAAGCAGCAGGAAGCGCTTAGAATCCACAATTCGTTGGCGTAGGCACTTGCAATCGAAAATGGCCTGCAGGAAGCTATAGATTGAGCAATATATTTTTCACTCCCCGACCGCCCCCACCTTCATGGCTTCATCCAGACAATCCCTCAGGTAAGCATGAGTGTCGCTGAGAAGCTGTGCCATCGCTTGGAAAATCAATGCCGGCTCAGCTAGCTCACGGGGACTTTCAACTTTTACGAGCCCTATCCTTATTGAACCCTTTAAGTCCAGGTATATCTGTATATGTAAACCTTTTCCTTCGGTATATATACCCTATACAGAATATCCCATTCTGAAGGTTGAAACCTCGCGGACACTGAGTATATAAGCCAATCACCCATACACCAGTTTAAGCTGCATGACCCATGAAAGCATCTCTAGAGCCAGCCTGCATTAGATACATGCAAGCACGTCCACACAGAACTGCCTGCAAGCTCCAGCTTGTCCTGGGCCCCTGGCCTAGCCAATGATGTCACCAGCCACGATCATCACATGTGGCGTCAACGGGATGCTTTTTGCTTATTCTTGAATTGTGCCACTGATTCCTGCCACCCTCACTATTTTGATGATGTTCAGCACCTGATCTATCAAAGATGCCCTAAACTATGAAAGACCATACAACTGCAAGCAGATAAGCCAGGAATGTGCTCGAAGCCTCGCTCCAACCCTGGAACCCCAAGTTTCTGGTTAGTCCTTAATAAGGAGAACTTATGACCCATTATATATTTGGTTTAACCAATTTTTGGGGGTTAAACCAGGTATAAACAGGAACCCAAAAAAAGGAACATCAGAGGAGGGTACAGGTATGTCAAGGATCAGCTTGTTTTTTCGTCTTTTTGGGGGGTTCTACTTCCATGCGGGTCACTTACCTTGGATGCGGGTTTTTGTGAGGGCTGGTCAGGAGAGGTCCCCGTAACAAGTACGCAGGAATTGAATTCTTCAGCACTCGTGGCAGGACCAGAACGTGCAAGTACCTGTAAGACTAGCGGGACCGGAGTATGAGGCAGAAGCAGCATGTAAGGATTTGTACATGGTTCCAAGTTGCCGGAATGCAACTCGCCTGTACCAGAAACGTCTACTATAAGCCCCCAACAGTGAACTCTTCCGGTACTCTGCCAAATTCATGAAAGTCGTGATGCTCCAAGCTAGATCATGACATGGAAGCCTGGTGAACTGCCCCGGTGACTGAGCCAGAGGCAGGTAGAAATCTTACATCACAAGATCAGAGTTGCAGTCACCCACCGGCCCAATCCCCAGATTGAATCCAGAAGACCAGCATCGAGCTCCATCTGCCTTGAAGCATGCGAGGCCTGCAGGCTGCAAACGCTATGACACAGACAGGGCCTTCGTACTCGCTTACTTCCTTGCCATGCATGATATAAATTAGAGGCTGTTGTATATTTATTATACATAAAGTATGTACTATGTACTATATATGATCCCGGTTCGGCCGGCCCACCCCCCCTCCCCCCCCAATGGTTCCT